AGTCCCCCACGTCCAAGCACGTTCAGAATGCATCTCCATCTACTGGCAAGAAGACGTCTGTGGGATATGCAGTGGGCCCTCTACTACTGTCGGCCAGTGGACAGAAAGGTTTAGACGAACCACGTAGACCCTCAATACAGTTTCTGGCGCACAGAAATGCTTCGTTGCCCAGAGGGAGCCCAAAATCGCGCCAATGCCGACGACTATCGTCACCACCTCCTCCGCCGTAAGTATTGTCTGCTGATAGGTTTATCCTGGAGTATTCCAAGCATATATTTATCAATTTCCCCCTGCCTCCTATCTCATCTTTACCGATTTTGACCCACGCATGGCGGGCAAGTATGACGAAGTATGCCTTACAGGTCACGGGTGGCGCCTGGAGCGAGCAATAGGCTTGCTTGCCTTCTCATGTCCCTCGGTGTTGCCCTAGTATTTTGGATCAAGAACTGACCGAGAGGTACAGCGTCTTCCAGAACCGCGTATCCTTCGACACATTCGATAAACCAGCCGACTTCATCGAAGAGAGTTCGTTCACGCTTATAGCAAAGCATAAGGACTACGAATACACTAAGCGCTCCCGAACATTTTTATGTGGCTTTGACGAAAACGAGTACTCAATCTACGCTCTACAATGGCTCATAAATGAGCTTGTGGACGATGGAGACGAAATTGTCTGCCTAAGAGTGGTTGAGAAGGAGGATGCAATCGCTGGTGATCGAAGTGTAGAGACAGGCCGGTACCGCACAGAGGCTGATACCACTATGCGGGACATACAAGCACGAAACCACGACAACAAAGCTATCAATCTAATTCTAGAGTTTTCAATTGGAAAGGTTAACAAGGTTATCGACGACATGGTAAGCTCTCGGCACAGAGAACGACTGGGTAAAAACTGATGATTGGATAGATTAATCTGTATGAGCCAGCCATTTTGGTAGTAGGAACTAGAGGAAAAAGTCTGGGTGGCTTTCAGGGCCTACTTCCAGGTAGTGTCTCGAAGTATTGCTTGCAGCACTCTCCAGTTCCCGTTATTGTTGTCCGGCCGACTTCGAAGCGCGACAAGGCCAGGACTAAGCGGGCAAATGACCCAGACCGACAAGGTTACAGAGATATTCTTGCGAAAAGTGAGAGTCTCATTGATGTCAATAGCTCCCGCAACAGCTTCTTCGCCAACGACGAAGAAGCGCTTACACTTGCTGTAGTAGCTGCAAACAAAACGGCGACAGAGGCTGTTCATCCATTGGCACAGGTTGCGCAGGTTGCAGACAGCGGCGACGAAGAGGATACCAACACGAGCAACTTACTCGATGACCCTCGTAGCCCGGGCGTTATGATGAAGAGCCCACATCTCCAAAACCTTGACAGCCCCGATTTCAGCGACGACCCTAGCAGTGGTGAAGAAGAGGACGAAGGGGACATATCTCCCGATGCTACAGGTTCAGGGACGAGTGAAATTGCTCAAGGACGGGGAGGCTTGCACATTGACGACGATGGCATCAGCCCGAAGCAAGTAATTGAAGATCCTCTCGAGAAGACAAGGACTACTGCAAGCCCACCACCCAACATCACCGTTACAGACCCAGATGATCCGAGCAGGGTGGACAAGAGCTCATCGGGTACGTGATGTCGGTCATGACAGATTTCACCTCAGGCCAGTCACACTGACGATGCCTACTTATATCCCTGTCAGCGATGGGACAGTCGAGCACCAATGAAGCTTAGGTGTACAAACTTTTAAGTTTGGTTTAGAGTGTGTAGCAATAATTAAGGATGTTCCATGCTTGCGGGGAAAAAGCGTGAAACAGTTTACCCACTTACAGATCGGCGTGGTGACGTTTGAGAACCGTGCGTGGCGCAGCCGTCGCGAACCTGCGTGCTTGACCTGACCATCCGAGAACTTAGCAACATCCTCCTCCCTTTGTAGCCTACGTTTCCCTTCGTACGACCAACTCTTGTTTAAGCGATGGTGTGACCATTGTCAAATGGATACATTAGCACTATCTTTGATCAGGACGAAGTGGTAGTAACAGATCGCCTTTTGGTTGCGCTTTAGAAGTCACTATGCTGCCGCTTCTCAATGACTGCGATGAGTGCGTTCCTGAATACATGGCTCGCCGGAGCCCGATGACCACCATCGTCTCAGCCCTCCCTTTTCTCCTTACCTTCATATTTGTCGCCTTCGCCGTATCACAGAAGCTATTTCCGTTCCTGTCAGGCCGCAAGACGCAGCACAATGGTGTGCATCTCCCTGCAATCGCATCGCGAGCGAGGTCATCCATCTTCAAGAGTCTGAAGCCCAGTGCTCGCTCACTGGCGACTATCATCTTCTCCACGAACATTGCACTCTCCGCTGTTCTCGCTGAGCTCATCTTCTGTGAAATCGCCAACGCCGTGAACCCCGCAACTCGCACCCTAGCCCTCAAGCTCACGCTTCCTTCTCTACTGTTCCTCCTCATCATCGCGACACCTGCCTTCGAAATACATTCCGTCATATCAGGGACCGGGCTCAACGCCAATGGGGGACAGAAAGGACAGCGAAAAGTAATCTGGGTGTTGGACTTTTGCGGGCTAGCGGCATGGCTTGGTGGGTTTTGGTATCTGGGAAGAGGGCTACTAGGTTCCTACCTACACGAGGAATCATATGTACACGAACACACATTCAGTGAAGGCTGTTTGGAGAGGATAGGTATCATTGGCATCAGCTTAATGGCGTCGCTAGCTGGGTTCGCCGCCATATCTTCCCTATGGCAAACTTTTGGAGTCAAATACCGCCCAGTGAGATCCCCTTGTCGCTGCCACGATACTCATGGTATTTGCACAGTCTTTACTGACTCCAACAGGTGTCAGAATCAGATATTGCTCGAAAACAGGCCGGCATTCAAGCCACCAACGATATGCTTCTTATCAAGGAAAGTCGACTACGTGCGGTGGAGCGTAAACTTTCTGATCACCCACAAGAAGGTTTTCTGGGCCGTGTCGTAGGCACTATTCGAGGGAATCCCGACGTACAAGAGCGCAACACGTTGCAACTTGAGATCACGGGTCTCGAGACCATGCGACATACACTACAAAACTCCATGTCTGCGCTCCAAAATCGGCGACAGAACCAACTTCGCTCCCACACAGTCTTTGGGCGTGTGGTTAACATGTGTTCATTTGTCTTCGCCATATACTGTGCATATCGTATAGCTGCTACTACCTTGACAACTCTTCGCCGTTTCTCATCACCAAATACCAGCTTCTCCAACAGCGACCCAATCAACAACTTTCTTGCGCTACTCGCAAAACATTGGGACCCCACGATTGACCGCGAGGCATGGAGTCGAACAATTTCCTTTTTGCTCTCTGGCGTCATGCTCATGCTCTCGTTTAATAGTGTCCTACAAACCTTCTTCCTCTTTGCACGCGTCGTTCCTGGCATACTCCATCATACCAAGACCAACTTTGCTCTAATCATATCTCAAATTGCTGCAACTTATGTAATCAGCTCAGCACTGTTACTCCGGAGTAATCTTCCGCCTGAGATGAAGAGCAAGATTACAGATGCATTAGGTGCGCCATTAGAGCCGAGTTTCACAGAGAAATGGTTCGAGAGCTGGTTCCTCATAGCAAGTGCGGCTACCGCGACAGGATTATGGATAGGCAGGCGGATAAAAGGACATGAATGGGACGATGATGGGGATGAAGGAAATGGCGATGTTGAAATGGGAAAGAGAAGCTAACCTGTTTTGCTTCCTATCACAGTACTGCCCATGATATATTACTAGTCGATATTAAAATAGGATGTTATGTCTACAGATTCTTACATAAAGGCGATAACCAACACCTACCAATTCTAACTCCTACGACTACCGGAAGATCTGCTATTCCTTAATCTGCTAATGACCCAACAAAGCCACAGTGCTTCGTCAGCATGCACATCAATGTAAATGGGGCGACTGATGATATGAGTTGACGTCGATGTTGTGCAGCTGCCCGATCTTACTACGTAGCTACGACTTTGTGACGTCAGTCGTGGGGCGAGCCATTCTATCAAAATAGACGCGTGCAACAACTTTCTAAAAATTTATCAACTCACTACGATACTCTACAAACCCAAAGAAACACATTGTATGCATTCCGTCTAATCGCGTTCTATTGGTGTTAGTCGGCTCTAATCTAATAAGCTACAGACCATCCACTCTTACCACCCAGCAAATCGTACTGCTTCCCCAATCCACATACCATTCTACGTAGGTATATCTAATACCTATCTAGTAAATCAAACAATCCATCGCATCAAAATGTCTGCTCCCAGCGCCGGTCGCCAGTCCCCCGAGCCCGAAAAGCAGTCTGATGCGCAAACGGGCCAGACAAGCGGCAATGTCAATGATCAGGGTGGTGCGCCATCCCAGGGTTCAGCAAAGGCTTCAAATCAGGCCAAGAGTTCATTGAGCTCTAACCCAGAGCACCCGCTTGCGAAGCATGCGGAGGAGGTCACGAGCAAGAAATGAGGATGTTGATTTTGGGATTGAGAAGTGAAATGACGACATGATGCCAATACGACATCGATGAGAATAGAAAGTATCATTGAATGAGATGTGAATACATCATCTGCTACAGTGTGTCTTTTGTACCTGATAGTGATGATGATGAGAAGTGTTGTGTACATATATTTTATGTTCAATGTACTAAATTTGTCACAGCCAATAGAGGCGATAAGCATGTGATATCCATCACTCAAAGACTCTAGTCGAATACCTGTTGTCGGTATATATTCAGCGATTCCCCTCACCTATATCTCTTTAACTTAACTAGCCTACTTCCTCGTCGCGTTGTGACAAACCTCAAGTTCCCCCACAGCCTTAACTACCCCACCACGCCCCACTTCAAACTTCACTTAACTCAAATCTACACAACACAGCATCTCTATTCTTAATTATTCTTTGCTATTTCTTCCTTCGTAGACACTAGCCAGAGTAAGTTTTCTCTAATTTTCAATATTTCCACCTTCTCAAATCGGGCGCTTGGTCTAGGGGTATGATTGTAATTACAAGTTCCGTCCATATGCGTAGTGAATATATGTCTAATCAGTAGTAGTTCGCTTCGCATTATACATTAATGACTCTGTGAAAGGTCGTGGGTTCAATTCCCACAGTGTCCATTTCTTTTTTGCATGGGGAAGGGTGGGATATGTTAAAGTATTGCTTTATTAATTTGAGTATGGTTTGGTGTGTGGCTTTGGAGTTTTTGGAAAGCTGGATGTGGAATTGAGTATCTTGTGAATTTCTAGGGACATGAGCAACCGAAGTGTGTATAAAATTCTTCAATAGATTAGTATAATCTTGGTATTTATTTACAGCAGGAGGCTAAGGGTAAGCTTCAGATGAAGCATCCAGATTCACGGAGACCACGCCTGAACATAGCTTTTTGTGGAAGTAGTAAGAATTGAATTCTACAATACCAAGCTTATAAATACTATAGGCACCTCGAATAGATACAAGGAGACCTAGTATAAACATATAGGAAGAATAATACTCGTGTACTGTACCCACCCTGCTCGGACTCAACCACTCACTGAATTGATAATAGCCGCTGTCTACTCAAACAGTGGTGTTTTTTTTCTGTTCGCTTGTAAACGGAGCCAAATTTGAATGAAATACTTGATTCGGTGCACTATACGTTTGTGAAAAGAAGGATTCTCGTTAACTAAGCGTGCCCCTCAAGAGTGTCTGTTCCTCCAAAATAACGATCGCAAGATATCCACTAATAGCCGGTGGAATCGCAACTACCCCAAGACATAGTATCCCCTTCTTTCAATCATCTTGTCCGCCCAAACGAAGCTAACCTCAATTCTGACCCCCCTCGGAGGCATTTCCATGATCTCTCGGGTATGGAAATGAACTTTGAACTAAACAAGATATTCTTTCAAATACTGTATTGGATCTTCAAAGATCTCTGGATCATCCTTGGGATCAACAGCAGTTCCACTCTTGATACCTGTCCGTGCCTCTGCTTTCAAATAATCTTTATTACCCTTCATGGTCATAACTTCGATTAATAAGGCGCACGTTTCGTTAAATCGATTTGGTTGAAAATCATTCATAACACCAAGACTACGAAACATCCTTACGACGCAACAACGCAAATTCAAGTCCCCGCCATATTCTTCTTTAGGATATTGGCACGGGGATTCCTCAACACAAATCTTTTGGATGCGCCGGAGTAACCGTAGACATCGCCAGTTAAAACTGGCCATATCAAACCGTAGGGGGAAGTCGTCCATTTTGAGAGCGGCCTTGAAGATCGCAAGAGATTGTAATGGTTTCATATGGCAAGCTTTCTGGTCTGTCTTCTCGTTATAAGGGTCGGCGGGCCTTGATACATCCTTGGCGTTTACTAAGCTGTCAATAAGGCGCTTCATCATAACAACGGGGTCCTTGGAAGCACGAGTTTGTTCCAAAATGAAGCCATGATGGGCCAACGAAGCTTGTGCATATCGAGAGATAGGCCGTAGGCGCCGCTTCCTGGAATATGCCTGGTAAGACGCCTGAGAAGGATTTTTGGAATGTCTGCCGTCAACATAGTTTTTCTTATTCATTGAAAAAAAGGCAGCCGAACACCCGAACGCTAGGCAGAGATGACGGAAGCATTCGACAGGTTCAGTGGGTCGTTCGCCTACGAATAGGTACGCATCGCCGTGCTTCTCGATGATGTAATCTAAATCAGCCCATATACGACCATTAGGAATGTTTCCAGTAAGAGCTACCGCATTAGAGAGATGAACAACCGCAGTTACCAACCCTAGGTTAGCTGCAATGCGCGTGCCTAACAAATGACACTGGACAAGCTGGCTATGGACAATCAGTCCGCATAGAATAGGATGACTCTTCAGCAGAAAGCAGTCTCCCCAGCTGATTACAGCGTTTACCTCATGTTGCTCGTCGATGTAGCAATTTATAATTTCCTTGACAACGTCTTTCTCAAGCAACGCTCTCAGAGCTTTGACTTGTTTACGCACGATATTGTCGTCCTGTTCCTGGAACTTTCTGACTCCGTTTTCATTCCCATATTTCAGGTAATTAGAACAAAACTCTAGAAGCCACCCTGCTTCTTTCTTGAGGTCTTGAAAACCTTGTACAACTTTAGTGTCCAGCTCCCATATAGTATCTATAAATACTTGACAAGCGAAGACCGCCCACGTAGGAAATTTTTCCCCCCGTTCCATTATACGAGCGGCTTGTAGGATTTGGTCGGTTTCAAAGATCGAGCTATCATTGTTTCTAGATTTCTTGTCGTCTACAAATTTAATTAAGAGGTGAATGTGTATTAGACATTGAAGAAAAGTTAGCACACATTGATTGCCCGTTGGGTTCCGTTGGTATGCTGGTAGGGATTCTTTACTATAAAATTCCATTAGTTCATATGTTGTGTGAACGCAGAAGAATGTCTCAGAGGATAAGTGTATATCGTCGTTTTGGTAACTACCGAAACCCTCGGGGTGCTCAACGTGAGCAATATTGGATTCTTTGGAAGTTGGATCGATGTAATCACCGTATAGGTAACCAAGTAAGGACACATGCTCCGCAAATTGAGGAAACGCCTCAATAAAACTGTCATTGAGATGATGCATAACGTCAATAGCAGTGTTGCTCATGACCGCGGCAGAGTCCAGGGTGATATGGCCATATTTATACTCGCGCCATGTGCGGCGTATGAAAATGCGAATGTCTGTCATATCCTTCATGAAACAGTACAAGGCCAAAGACACATCCTCGGGCGAAGCTTCTGGTTGGTACGAGTCTTGCTGTGCCTTCTTAGAAGGGGCTGGCAGTCTGACATCTTCCATGTCCCAGGTGGGGCAGTCCTCAACCTTCAGTGAACCAAATATATTGGTCAAATTCGAGGTCTCGGTTGCTATCGGAGGACTTTCTGTCGGTGCCTTTTCTTGTATTGGCGAGAATATCTCGAAGACCTCTTCAAGGGCTTTGATAATGTACTGGTGTCCGTCATTATGCGCATTTTTAATTTCAGATTCGTCCACCTGATGAGCCTGGTACCATGCAGCGCATCTTTTGCGCGCCCGGATAATATCTCTTAGGACTGCCATCATATAACGAGGAACTTTGTAATCCCCCGTATCCTTGATGGCATTTGCAAGAATGCGGAAGTCGCCAATGGGTATTTCGTACGCGTTAAACTTCATTTGCGACCTTTGATGTTTACTCTTCCTGCGCCTTGTCTTGTTTGGTTGTTGGCTCTCGAAAGTGTCTTTGTTGAAAAGGCTATCCGTCAGCCCAGTAGCACGCGCTGTTGCACAAAGCCACTGCGTAAAAGCCTTTGTGTCTCGCTTATAGCGCCTGTACGTGTCTACTAGAAGTGGAGAAGTGCCCATGGTTACTCACCTCGTGGACTTGTCTTTCGAGGTAAACCGAGTTCGAAATTGTATTTTGTTGTCGTGCTACGACGAGGTTAATAGTCAAAGTTGATGTAATGGTTTGCCGCACAAGTAGGTAGGTGAAAAGAGCTTTAAGTTAAGGTGAATGGAGAAAGCTGTGCTCCGGAATCATAGTCGGCCCGGTGACAAGGAGCTGGCAGCGATGGTGTCGCTTTCACTAATAGGATGTAAATAGAGAGTTTCAGTATGGCTTCCGAAGGTCCTGTGACATGTTGTATTAGATGTCCGAAAAGCTTACACGAAGGTATCGTCCTCCATTTTGATAGTTGGACCTGTTGTGAGTTGTAGGGGAATTCAGCAATGTTATACCAACTGTACTTATATATATCACTTGTATGAATTCTCCTTATTCATGCGATGGTAGCAGTTTCCTTGGTCTCCTGACTGCATCGTCTGAATAATCTCTCGGTTTCTTACCTCTAATTATTGGAGCAAGTGAAAATTGAGGCTTTGAGAAAGTAGACTTGACAGAAGGGGAGATTTTATTTGACTGAATATCATGCATATCAATTCCAAAGAACTCTTTGATATTTTGATCAAAACTAAGAGGTGCTTCTTCGTTCACCTTGCGACGAATGAGGCCCAAAAGTTCATCGTGCGCAATCAGCCTTGTCCTAGGCGAGACAACTTCATAATGAGGTGGTTTGAACGGAAACCACAGCTAAGGATGATGATTCACAGTTATCTATTTGAGAAGTAAAGCAAAAGCCCCGGCTGATGGTGGTAGGATTGTTGACTGAAGGTTATCAATCAAATGAAGTCGGACCTCCGTGGTCTTGGCAGACTAGCATCACCTCGAAATCCACCTCGAAATATCAAAACCACCAACATCTACAATAGACACGATTGCGCCACGCCACAACCCACAATGAACCTCTCAAGTTTCCGCCCAGTATTCAAACAATTCCATTCAACGAATCGGATACCTTCTATTTTCTCACGAGCCGCACAATGCCCACAGCAAAGAATACCAGCAACCACATCCCCATTTTCATCAACAGTACGCCTGCAAAAACGAAGTAAAAAAGGCCCAGGCCAAGATCCTCGAATAAGTACGTCAATAATACATACCAAGATTTATTTAATTCACCTTACCTTCCCAATCCATTCCCCTCCCTAGTCCTTCCAATATAAAAAAAACACTATACTAACAAGCGGTATTTTAGCATCCATCCGCTACCACCTCTACCACCCCCTCACCCCCCGCCCCCTCCACTTCTCCCGCACACGCGCCCTCCGCCACTGGACTATCCACCGCGCCTGGCTCCTTTTCCTACGCAAACGCCGCTGGGACGAGGAGCGAGAGCTGGAGCGCCAATACGAGTCGATGCGCGCCGCGTGCGAGCACTTGCGACTATTGGATAACAACGGCAATCGGGTGGATGCACATGAGGCTGGTGGTGAAGGGCCAGATCCGGGCACATTGGGGCCGCATGGAAGGGAGGTGGGGCGGTTGTATCGGAGTGCGATGATTAAGAGGGGGGTTTGGGGGAGTGTGCCGGTTGAGTATGGGAAGATTCAGACTGATTTTCCGGGGAGGGAGGGGTGGAATCATGAGTGGACGAGGAATTAGATGGGCAGGGTAGAGTTGATACAATGTATATTATGTAATACGAGTGTGAAGCGTAACATATTGCAATTGTGTGTATGGCAAGATAAGAAAAAGTTTGAGCATCTGAGATGCATTGTGATGGTATTAGCATTCC